TTTCAACATGTGTTCAAATAAAATCAATATTAAGTTTGGATGTTTTTAACTGATTCTGTTTTCAAATTCTGGAGTTTTGTTGAAAACAGATCCAGAAATCAGAAGAACTTAAGCTGAACTCTGCACTGGAGGCATGGAGTCCTGACTGTGCTGGTCCCGGTCTTTTGGGTTCCTGGTTGACCCATGTCTCTTCTGGACCCAGGTGGAACAGGTGGACCGGGCCGCTCCCATTCTGGACTGCCTGGAGAGCCCCAGTACCGTGACGGACCTCGGGGCCGGCCGCTATGGCATCTTCATCACCAGCAGACACCTGCGGGGCTCAGACCCAGACAGCCCAGCAGAACTCCTGGAGTTCTCCGTCATCATGCCGCCTCAGTTCGGATCCTTGGAGAACGCAGCCACAGGTAGAACCAGAGGACGGTTCTGATCCGCAGCGGGTCAGAACTTCCTGTTCTGGTCTCGGTCTGTTTCACTTCCTGTCTTTAACTCAGTCAGCACCAGAACGTACTGGGCCCTGGCGTTGGGTCGCGGCATTGGGCCCTGGCGTTGGGCCCCGGGTTATCCCCTCCTCATCCTGCAGGGTCCGCCATCAGCCAGCGTTTCACCCAGCGCGATCTGGACCGGCGCTCCGTCCTCTACATCGTCCCGGTTGATGTGGATGTGACGGCCGACGGGTTCTGGTTCAGACTCGTGGACCCGGCAGGAAATGGAGCTCCACCTCACAGGTAGGTGTCCGCTCCAGTCACGTGACTCAGTACCTGTTTGTTTGGGTCCCAGACTCCGGTTCTGGTTCCGGTCCTGCAGGCTGGAGCTGTTCTGGTCTCGGGTCCAGCTGTCAGCCAGCTGCTACAGAACTTGCGAGACTTCGAGAACTCTGCAGATCCAGATCCAACGTGGTGGGCGGAGCGCCGACCCGGCTTACGTTTCCATCCAGGTGAGTCCGAGTTGGAACCAATCGGATCAAACTAATCAAACCAGAACCAATATGAGCAGATCAAAGGTTTACCCACAGAGGTCAGAACTTACCGGGTTCAACCCCACGGTCCAGTTCCACGTTTTCCCAACGTGTTGGACTGAACCCGGTTCTGGACCTTGAAACTCAGAAGCTGCAGTGGTCCAGATCCCGGTAGAACCAGCTGCTGGGTCATCTGGGAAACTGGGAGCTTCTGGTTCTTGCAGCGATCTGTTGGTTTGTTCCTCCAGGCTCTTCAGGAAGTTTAATCCTCCAGCAGAGTTCTGATGGAAGCCGGATCAGATCAGAACTAATTTGAATAACTAACTGAGCGAAATATTTGTCAGCCGAGCTGAGCGGAGCTTTGCTTGCTGCGCAGGTGGAGGAAGGATCGGCCAAAGCCGGCCGGGATTTCACCCACAGCTCAGCCACTCTGATCCAGTTCGACACAGGTCAGGTCCAAAGCCGGTTTTCCGTCCTGATGGGTCCACTGCCGGTCTGATGCGTTACATCCTGTTGGCTCCAGGTGTGAACGTAAAAACCTGGAGCGTCTTCCCGTTGGACGACGGTCTGGAGGAGAACCACGAAACCTTCAGCGTCACTCTGAGGAACCCTCAGAACGCCGTCATGGGTCAGAGAAACACCGCCGCCGTGGAGATCCTCGACCCCCGCTCAGGTGAGAGCAGACCCCGTTTCTGTTTTGGTCTGTAGGGGGAGCCGTCGGCCTGTAGGGCAGACATGTCCAAAGTCCAGCCCGGGGGCCAAATGCGGCCCGTGGTCAAATTTCATCCGGCCCGCAGCCTCTGTCATAAAATCAATAACGTCTGGCCCACACGTAGCATTAATACATTGGGCAGCAGTACTGTTACCTGCATAGGGCGTAGCTTACACTCTAAATGCTGTTCCTCATTTACCCACTAGAGGGCAGCAGCCCATGTGACTCAGACCATTTGCAGCTGGAGCTCCTTGAGCTGCAATGTGACGCAGAGAGCCGCGGTCGGCACCAGCAGCTTTCTCTCGCCAACTTTTACCGACAGCTGGATAAGGACAGGTTTCGAGAGATTCGAGCATTTGGTAAGAAAATGCTAAGCTTGTTTGGGTCGACGTATTTGTGTGAGAAGACATTCTCGGTTATGAGCTTAAATAAGAGCCGTGTGAGGACACGGCTAACGGACTCTCACTTACGAGACATCTTGTGCATCAATACCCAGCTCCGGCTCTAGACGAGTTTAACTGGGGGTGGGGGCAAAATGAATCTACGTAGCTGAACATAGACAACACCGGTAGCCTACAGGCTACTTGTTAACAAGCTTAAGGTGCTGAATTAATATTAGCTAGTCATCCTTTAGCTAACTTTACATTCATCCAGCAGCTTCACTCAACAGTCGGTTGTTTGGGGGAAAACTGTGAAAAGTTCTTTGTGTTTTGCTGGTTTGCTGCCGTGATTCTAACACACCTGTAGCTCCGCCCAGCAGCAGCAGGTCTCCTTCACAGGTGGAAACCCAGCGCGAGCGTCTCAGCGTTCATGTTGCGTTTGAAGGCGGCTCGGAAAAACAGGTTACGACTTGTTAACAGATTAAACGGTTTTAACTGCTGAAAAAGGTGACAGGACACGGATATGGGAAGTGGGGAAGCTCCTATTGTATCAAATTGATATAAGAATAACAGACTGTTGGCCATTCTAAGGTAAAAACAATAAACAGCTTCCAGTCCAGGGGGGAGGAGGGGGGGTTGGAGGGGGCACGGCTGACTCTGAACGGGCAATGTCCCCCGATGCCCGCCCATGCCACTGGGCCTGTCAGTACCACTGCCTTTGAGCCAGACCTGGACTATGTGCCGCAGTCCAGATCTCAGTATCTCCCATCACTTTAATGCAGACAAGTTATTTGTCATTTACAATAAATCTCTCAATAAATTTTGTTTTTTTTAAGATCAAAATCAGTCAAAAATTCAGACAAGTTTTCAGTTTTCACTTCAGAATAATGAACTTTGAAAAATCTAATTAACATTTATAGTTACTAATATGTCATATTTCAAATGAGCCCTGCACTTGTTGATATGACTATTACTTGCTCATTTCTCTGTTATTTTATTTAAAAATTCTGTAAATATTGAACTGCCATGGTGAGATATTTTTTATGTTTCAAATGTAATTTGCACTCATGAGTACAATTACTTCTGTTTAACCATTAGAAAAAAGTTAGTGTTAAAAAAGTGAAGTTAAGTGAATATTCAATTACATATGATATGCATGTTTCAAATGAACCAAAAGACATGTTTAAGACCGCTGAAATTAAAATAAAAAAGCAAATGTAAAACACAGAATGGCTTCCTGAAATGTGTTTAAATATATTGCTGTTCTATGTAAAGAACGTCGGCCCCCCTACATTTTTAAGACACCAAATCTGGCCCCCTTTGCAAAAAGTTTGGACACCCCTGCTCTAGGGGCAGCCGTCGGCCTGTAGGGGGAGCCGTCGGCCTGTAGGGGGAGCCGTCGGCCTGTAGGGGGAGCCGTCGGCCTGTAGGGGCAGCTGTCTGCCGGGCCGTCTACAGTTAGTTTGGGGGGGCGGGGGGGATGAACTTATGATGAAACAAGTGCTGCAGTTTCAGGTGAAAGCTCCACCTCCTCTCTGAATTAGTTCCCTGATCTCCGTCTGCCAGGACGCTGCAACCCAGAAGACCTAAAGGTACAGTTTCCTCCTCTTCCTCAGCCTGAGGAAGAGGAGGATGAAGACCCAATGACCGATATCGAGGCAGAGCTTCTTTGGGAGCAACAGCCCCACCCTCCCAGAGGAGACGTCCCGGACCATCGGCCCTCCCTGGACGAGACGGAGCCGCAGGACCAGGCGCTACCTGGAGACACCCACAGCTCTGTAGGCCGCCGGCAGGGAGCACGCGCTGGGAGCGCTGGGAGCACTGGGAGCACTGGTATACAGAAGGTGGGTGTTGCCTAAAACGTCTGAACTCATCAGGACGTCCAGATGTCCTTCAGTAGGACCAGGATCTGCTGACTCCACAGTCAGGTGGTTTCAGAGACACGTCTGGTCTGATCCAGATGTTCGCTTCAGAAGACGCTGGTTCCGTCCTCCGGTTTCAAATTTCATGTCAACTTTAAACATTTTTTAACTGAAAAGGCGACGAGCCGCAGGCTGAATGACGGCCCTCGCACCCGGCCGACTTTCTGGGGGAAACCTTGCAGACAGTGTGTTTTAAAAATCACCATTCACAATGAAAACAGACTAAACATTACTTTAGGGAAGTAATGTCCTTCTAAACCTCGAATGAAAACGAAATTAACCCCTAATTAATCCATTTTCCAGTTAAGACCAAGAAGGTTGGCTTGATGAGCACAAGAATCTTTTGTTTTGTTGTTGAAACCATTTCATTTGAGTCAAACACTAAATGTTGTTTATTAGTTAGCTGGTAGCTGCATTTAGCTTTCTGTTGTTAGCGTTAAGAACCCAGGAGATTAAGGGTGTATTTTCAGTTACTTTGTGGCATGAAATGAGGAAAAATACTCACAAGAGATCAGCTAAACCTTAGCGGACTATCGGCGATTCTAACACTCCCTGAATAAGTTCACACAGTTTGAACTCTGTGGTTAGTTTGGCTACAGAACGCACTGCTCCGTTTGGATGCCGATGTAAGCACAATTAAAACACACAATGGCACTAAAAATGATCATCCCAAGCTTTAGTTCATAACCAGGTGTCGTACCTACTGTCCACCGTTCCAATGGGGACCAATGGGGACCGTTTTTGGGCTGGCAGGAACAGACAGCCAACCATAGACATGAACATGTAGACGCCTCCTGGAGCGGGTCAGAGGTCATGGGGCGGGTC